AGGAAGTGGAGCTCAGGTGGTGATCCAAGCAATGGGGAGTGGCTGTAAATACAGATGAAGCTTCCCTTGCTCACCACGCTGCTGTGTGCCCAATTCCTAAGTTTCATGGAAGACAATTTTTCCACAGAAGTGGGGTATGGGGGGTTGGGGGTGGTGGTGAGGGAGGTGAGGAGGTGAGAGGCAGAGCTCAGGCAGTGATGTGAGCCCAGTTCCTAACAGGCCACAGACTGGTACCGGGACACAGCCAGGGGTTGGGACGTCAGCCTTAGACCATCTGGATTCAAATCCTGCCTCCACCATTTATTAGATCTGTACCTTGGTCAAATCACCTGTGAAGTGGGAACGGTATAGTACCTACCTCATGGTTGTTGGGAGGAGCAAGTGAGTTAATACTTGTAAAGCACTAGAACAGAGCCTGAAATGTAGTAAGAACTCAGTGAATAGTAACTATTATCCAAATTTCCTCTAATCTTCAAAGACCAGATAACATCCTATGTCTGGCATAAAATCTTCTCTGACTAGTCACATCCTACCCACAATAATCTCTTACTCTTTTGAAGGAGTAACATATTTGATACTTAATTTACTCAAATAGCACCTTGGGACAGCTGCAGAATAGAAGGAAAGAAACAGAGTATCTGGGTTTAAATCTTGACACAGTCAGTACTGTGGGACTTGGGGGAACTACTTAAGTCTTAGTTTTGTCATCTGTAAAATGGAATTATAGTATTTTAACAAGGTTATTGTGAAGACTAAATAGAATGATGCTTAAGAAGTATCTCATACAGGTCCTGACTGATGGTAGATCCTCAATAAATACACATGCTCTTTCAAAATATATTCATTAGAATTTTGTTTTATAGATTGTAAACGTAGAATTGCTGTAGAAAATTTAGATAACATAGCAGTGTATATAAAGAAAATTAAAATAATCCCATAAACATCCTTCTGTATACAACAATTCCTAGTCAGTAATTCCTGCCCTGGAAACTCAATACAGCTGGGCGTATTTGCTTTAGTTGCCCCCCCCCCCCGTGTGTTCAAATAGGCACAGACATTTAATTTTTTTTCTTTGAGACAGAGTCTGGCTTTGTTGCCCAGGCTAGAGTGAGTGTCGTGGCCTCAGCCTAGCTCACAGCAACCTCAAACTCCTGTGCTCAAGCAATCCTACTTCCTCAGCTCCTGAGTAGCTGGGACTACAGGCATGCGCCACCATGCCCGGCTAATTTTTTCTATATATATTAGTTGGTTAATTAATTTATTTCTATTTATAGTAGAGACAGAGTCTCGTTCTTGCTCAGGCTGGTTTTGAACTCCTGACCTTGAGCAATCCACCCGCCTCGGCCTCCCAGAATGCTAGGATTACAGGCGTGAGCCACCACGCCTGGCCCGCACAGACATTTTAAAAACAAAGAAATCCCCATTATATTCCCATTTTGCAGCCTGCTTTGCTTTGCATAGACATTTTCCTATCTCACTTAATATTTTTCAAGGTCGTGGTTTTCATTAGCCTTATAGTACTCCGTGTACATCTAAACATAATTTATTTAACCGTAACCCTATTGTTGGACATTGATGTTTTACTCAGGTTTTAGCTGTTCTAAATTATGCTGCAGCAACTATCTGTGTATACGAACTTTCTTAGTATTTTTGATTACTTTGTTAAGATAAATTCTTAGGAATAGAAATACTGAATCAAGGAGAGCACATTAAAAGATTCTGGCACATACTGCTATCTTTTGCATTCCCAAAAGGTTGTGTAAATTGCATTACTATCACAGTGACCAGAAGTGCCCTTCACATGTCACCCTTGCCATTGCTCTGTTGTGTTGTTATTTAACTTTTTGTCTGCCTGATCTATTATCTTTCAACCCGGATTGTGATCTCCTTGAGCAGACACTGGCCATCAGCTTCCTTCTACTTGCCTTTGTACAGAACTTTGCTTGGTGTCATTCACATAGTAACCGTTGTCAATATTTGCCAAATAAACAAATTTCTATCCACAACTATCCCTCTGGGGTTAAGAGCTGGAGAAGGTACTTGAACAATCACTTTCAAATTGGTCAAATTGAGAGAGAGGGGTTTACAGACTTCTCCTCGATCTTCTGGTGAGATAGGTTGGGTAGAAAAGTATTAGGGTATTTGGCTGATGTTCAGGGGACTTGGACAAGGGGATGGGGGGGCCCAGAGAAAAAAATGATTTGTTTTTCAGGGTCAGCGCTGCAGCGTGTTTGAAACTGACTTTCTGCACTGCTATTCATTCTTCCCTCATAACTGGGTGTGGGGAGGGGCGGGATCTGCTTTTACAACTCAGCCATGTAGCAGAATGAGTGGAATTTTCCAGATGGTTCCTCTTGACGGCTATTGGCATAATTGCAGCTTTGCCCTCTGGGAGCCGTTAGGCTGCAAGGCTGAAGCCTAGACAGCGGCTTCAGCGGGTCAGATTGTGGCATCCATGTGTTTTCGTTGGCACAGAGAGTCATGTGGGATTTCAGACCATAAATACCATTTTTATTTTCCTCATCCGAGCTCCTTACTAAATGCTTTGAGCAATGGGGCTGAAGTGAGGAAGGTGTCATAACCCTTCCCCTCAACACACATACACATACACCCATCCCAGATGCAGTGACTCGGATGATTCCCTGGCATTGGGCACCTCTCTGAATGCCAGAAAATCTGGGAAAACCTGCCAGGAATAACACAGTGCTTCAGAATCTTTCTGGAGCTACACACCCACTATCACAATGAGTGGATACTTCCCTTCTCCTGCCCCGGCAGCCCTTCTTCTGGGATAGTTCTCTTTCTGTTTTCAGGTAAAGAGGCTTTGAGTGTGACACTTTGCCATGGATTTGGGGACATATGCACTCGTAATATCCCTGTGTTACAATTTTACCTGCCCATTTGTGAATTGACCATGAATATTTACAGTATTCAGTAAACACAGATGTCCCAGGAGGCAGGTAAACCAAAGGGGTAAATCTGGACTGCTAAACTTTTTCATGGACGAGAGATGGTTTGCCTTACAGTGATGGGCCAGTTTGTTCCTCTCTTCTCTGTAGCTATCAGAGAGGTTATCTTTTAGAGCCTCTTTTCCTCTGAGCCATAATTTCTTTAACCTCCAAGTTAGAAGACATCTCTTAGAATTAGAAATCATCACTGTGGCAGGACCAGAATGCCAATGCCTAGTGTGCAGTGATAGGGAAATGTAAAACTTTATTTCACAGACTCCCTTGTGGTTTGGTTTTTGATGTGATTGAGGTTCTGCCAATCAGACACACTTTGTTGACACCTGGATGTGGGAACCAAGTCATGCATAGGGAGAGGCAGAGCAATGGGTATCTGTATTTGCTCCTGTTGACCACGTGGTGGTGTGGTTCCGGGGGTGCCAGTTGTAGCAATGGCTTTTCAGTTCAGCAGTCAGCTTCCTGGGCCAGCAGCTCCCTCGGTGGCCCTGTTCTATAACATGGGTTTGGAAGTCATTGCTGGACCCAATCTACAGTCAGTTTCTTCAGCTAGCCAACTCTCTTCTTTTAATGCTCCTGTAATAAATCCCTCTTTGTAAACTTGCTGATGTAATCCTTCAGCTGCAAAGCTATCATGTCTTACTTACACTGTTCGTTTGTAGACTGAGACAAAATAAAATGGTTGAATTTTTTCTTTGACTTTGATTTTATTATGGATTTATTTTCCGCAAAGCCAGTTTTGAACTACCCTGTTACCTTTGCATGCTTTTCCTTGCAATGCTAGATGACCTTGTATTGCGACTTTCCTAGAGTTATATTGATATGTCCAATCCTAAATGTTTTTTTCTTCCTTAGGGGAGAGCACGAACGCAGTCCCCCACTACCAAATTATGTGGTCGAGTTTCCCACATTTGGGGAAATCGCAGGGGTCAGCGCATCGGGAGTGCAATGGATAAGCCTCGCCCTGGGAAAACCACGTTCATGATCATGGTATCTCCCCTGCCAGGTAAGTATAATAAAAGTAATTGTTTCCGCCTTTGTTCACCTATTTAATTGGAGCCATTTCGTGTGCTGCTTTGTGAAATTCATATAACATCTCTCTATAAAAATAGAGTACTGTGTTATTAATAAATATATAAAATGAAATGCACATATGCACTGAAGCTTATAATAGGCACAGAAAAAGGCTGAGAGAACATTTTGCTGTCTGTAAAGACCTCAGAACTGGCATTTCACTTCCAACAAAAAGGCACTACCCCATATATAAGTCACACCTAGCATATTTCCTGACATCTGGGAGTTTACTCCATGATCTTAACGTGATGTTGTTACTGAGGCATTATGCTACACCCTCTATTCCTTTGACTGGTTCTCTTATTTTTGTTCTAGAGTTTGCTGAAACTTTACTATGAAAAATAAATTCAGATGCCTCAGGTATGCAAAGTGCTAGCTGGAAAAGCACTGATATAACCGGGCAAGTCTGTGTTCAGTAATTATAAAATTGGAATATATTCCTGCAGAGCCGTCTCTTAACCTTTTGAGTTTGGGTCCTTCATACAGACACAGGTAGAATGGCAGAGCAATTGGAGAAGTTAGACCCCAAGCCCAAATGGAGAGTGTTTTCCTATTTGCTGTTTCTTGGAAAGAGCTCTGCTGTGTGCTGGCTGCACAAGGGCATGCTACCTCTTTCAGAACACATATTTCTTTTTTTTTTCTGTAGTTTTAATAGAATTAAGGGTACGAGTTGAATTTTGTTACACGTATATACTGTACAGTGGTGAAAGTGAAGTCTGGGTGTTTGTAGCCGTCACCTGAATAGTGTACGTTGTACCCTATTTTTCAGCCCTTGCCCATTCCCAACCCTCCCCTCTTGTGAGTCTCCAACGTCCATTATATTACTCTGTATGCCCGTGAAGCCTTAGTTTAGTTTCCACTTATAAGTCGGCATTGATTTTTCTGTTCCAGAGTTAACTTCACTTAGGATAATGGCCCCTCCAGGGGAACAAGCATTTCTGAAGAAGCAACAAACATTCTGTCTTAAAGTTGGAACTAAAAAACAACTTCGTTTATTGAGGGCAAGAGGATGCAAACAATATAAAAATCAAAAGCTTATCTGGCATTTAATTAACTTTTCTTTCTCTGCTCGTCAAATGGGAAGTGGATTTTATTTGTACATTTTCTAAGGGTCCTGATCTGCTCATGAGATCCTTACACAGGGAGAAGCTGTGGGGCAGAGTTCTTAAGCAATCCTTTGGGAGAACTCTTATCAGGGTAGAGTAATTGCTCAGTCCTGCCTACTTCTTTCCCTTCTGCTTCATGTGTACCACAAAATAGTCGTTGCACGCGATGGTGAGGCCTGCAATTAGGGAAAAGAAGCTCTGGAAGCCCACTTTGCCGTCCCGGCACTGGTCCAGGTCCTTCATTATTTTGTCCAAGGCCAGAGGGTCTTTCTGATCTGGGAGAAAATAAAAAGAACAAAGTCAAGAAATATCAGTTAATGGTTACAGTGACGAGCTTATTTGATTTATGCTGCTGAAAACCATGTGTACAATCTCCTAGTCACTTGAGCTCTTGTTTTAGGTCATAAGTGACCTTTGGAGGTCATCTAAATGGTATTTTTTTTTTTTTTGCCTTGAGGGAGCATTCAGTGAATCATGTTTAAATCTGCCTAAGAACCACTAAACTCCCATTTTGTATCTTACACTTATGTTCCCTTAATAAACTTTTATTCCTGATAGGCATGGTCAAGTCCTTTTAAAAGGAAACTCTTTATGAAAGATCTCATAAGATTATTTAGGGAATAATTGTTCAGATCATCGTTCTATGGATTTTAAGGAGGTACTATGATGCCAAGCAGTGTTTTAGGTTGGAGAAGATAGACAGCTCTCGTTCTCCTTAGTACAGCTGAGGCCAAGCTAGTGTGGATCATATTAGCTATGTGACCTTGAGTAAGCACACAGCGTAGTAGGCCTTTGTGTATCAACTAAGGATTGAGGAGGTTGGACTAGAGTTTCTCTAGGATCCCTTTCATTCTTTGAAGTGGTAGTCTATGCCATCCTGTAGACTCTGCTGGATGTTGTACATTGGACCAGCTTTCAAAGGAACATGTATGCTGAGTCATCAGCTCCCATGACTCCAGCGCCTGGTAAGATGTGTGGGATGGGATGGAGATGGGCAGCCAGCTCCCTTTGCTTTCTTCTTGCGTTCCATGGTGACTGGTTGATCACTCCTTTCTGTAGCGATGCTGGTTAGAGGTGGGGAATGGGGGTTTCTCCTATAGGGTCCATGCCATCAACCAGAGAGGGAAATTGGTTATCAAAGGCCTCAATCAAGTACTTATGAATTCCTGTGACTGTATTCATGATGAGGGAACTGATACTCAGTGTTTCAAGTGTGCTGGATGCTGGTAAATTGCCTCAGGAATCCCTGAAGGTATAGTAGCATATTTCCTACATGAGGACTGTAAACTCCTGCCTAAGCAATCAACTAAAGCCGCTCTATGCAGCTAATCTGGACTCACCCTCAGCTTCCTGGCTGTGGTAAGAATGAGTGAAATTTGGATGACATAAGGGTCTACTTTGGGAAACAAAATGCTCTGTTAACAGTGAGTGGGTGGCCTGAAATGACCACCGTGCTAAAATAAATTACCTACATGTTCAGTACCCACACTCCTTTATATTTCTCATGCCATAAAACTTTTAGGGCGAAAGGGTCTGCCTTACATGACATTCATCCTGGCTTCTAACTAATGCAACGACATGATTAACAAGGTTTAGTGTACCAAGAATACGCCTGTCCATGTGTGGGCAGGCTCATAATGAGCACATTTTGTCCCTTACATTAATGCTGCTTTGAAGGACCACAGAAAGTAGTGACCTCGCAGATAATCATGTCTACGCCCTCTCATTTTTAGGGAGAAAACGAGGACTAGAGAAGCTGAACTAGAGGCTAAAAACCATTGTCAGTTAAGGCAGAGCAGATCTTCCAATTCCGGTCTGGGGCTAGATCACAGACTCATAAAGCAAGTAACTAATTTGGATTTCTTCAGGTAATTGCAGCTCTGAGAGAGCAGCTAGGCATTTATATCTGTTCTTTAACAGATATTGATGACATATAAATTATATTATACTACAAAGCCTATGTTCATCAATCAGGAGTCAGGGGCTTGACCTAATGTGTCATTTAACCAGGTGGATGACAAGAGGCGGACCCAGCCTTCTACCATCATCTCCTTCACTTTAGAGGCTAATGCATTATTCATCACCAACCACAGTATGAGCCTAAGTGACTAGAGTTGTGGCAAGGAAAGAAAGGCTTTCATTTCAATCTATTATGCCCAACAATGTTTCACCTTCAGTTGAATTCAACAACCCCTTTGAGGACCTGCAATGTAAAAGGACAACTGTGCCTCCTGTCCTGAGTGACATATCTGAACTGATGCAGAGTTCTTTTCCAGTTTGCATGGATCTGTCAAAGGTAAGACATAAACTCAAACTATGTTCCGTGTTCTCGAGCATTTTCAATGTGAAAGCAGCTATTTCTGAGTGATTTGGTTCTTATCCAGCAGATGATTGACACTATTCCTTTATAGTACTGGAGAAGGAAAACAAATCCTTAACTGAAGGGGTTAAGAAAGGGAGATTCAAGTGCTTCAAAATGGAATGTGACCAGGATGTGACATCTCCATACCAGGTTTATGGACCTGATCACAGCCATTTCCTGGTTGATTATCTCTTGTGAAAAACTTCTTTCCCCCAACTCTGTTCCCTGCATAGTCTCAAATGAGGCAGATAACTCCAGATGGAATTTTAACAAACACCTCAGTATTGTGGTAAATTTGTGTTAATCTTATTCACCTGCAGATTACAAACTCCTTGAGGGAAGGGGCTGTGCTTCTTCCACTTTCTGTTTTCTCTATAGTATCTTACAAACAATAGGTATTCAATATTATTTAATAAACAATGAGTGAACACTTTTTTAGTGGTGACCTCCACAGGGAAAAATAGAAAGAGACAGGGAAAGGAACCCAGGCCAGAAACATTGATTTTATGTCTGGTTCTTATGAACCTTTGACACTACTTCCAAAAATCCAGGGAACTCCTTTTCCATGAGTACTCTCAGGTCATCCTTTGTTAAGTAGCCTTTATCCCCGGCAAATTTGTGAAATGTAAACATCATGGTTTCCATGGCATGTTCCATTTGAGATGGCATTTTGGTGAGGTCTGTTGAAGTCTGTTAAAAGATTTCAAGAAGCAGGGTTTACATTGACTTTTAAGCCACATGTGTGCCAGTCTTTTGAGGATATTTGGAAGGAGGGTGATTGATCATCCATTTTAGCTTTTCCAGCTATAAAATTCAATAAATCTAAGAACCAGGTCACCCTAGTTTTTGGGTCTCTTGCTGGTGGAAATAGACACCTCAGGAATTGGCGCTGTAAAATGAGGGATTTATCTACCTGCCGGCTAATTCTGCATAAATCACCCAGTGAAGAAAAACAACTCTAATCATTTAGAAAAGCAAGATCAGTATTCCCTTTTTTAACTGAAAAGCACCTACTGAAAGAACAGATATTGCATCATTTCTCTTAGCTCTGATAAACAGGACTCTCAGATGTGGCTGAATACCAACAACCCACGCAGTCAAGCCTGGTTAATAAAACATGAACTTTCTAAGCGTAACTTGGTAAGCTGGTTCAGTCTGATTCTAGGGTTTAGAAATCTGCTTTCAAGTGAATTTGTCTGCCGGGTATGTATTTTATATTACAGTTCTGAATTTGTTATTTATTGCAATAAATAAATTGCAATAAATTGCAATAAATAAACTGCTGCATCTCTGGTAGTAAAAATGCAGTTACCCTACTGGAATAAAAGCCACCCAAAGTCCATTATCTAGTTCACTTGAGAAGGAATAAGTAACAGTATGTCCTAACCCCTTTGGGGGCCTGGTACACTTTTGGCAGCACTAGATGAAGAGCTGCTCTCACAGTCTTGGGTGCAGTGGGAGAGCAAGAGCTTTTTGTCATGAAGATTTTTTAAGAAAAGAAAGAGAACATGTCAGATCATTACATTCAGACATAATGAACTGGGGGCCTATGTCTCCCAGTGCCTGGTACTTAATAGGAGCTCAATGAATTTTGGCGTAATTGGAAGGAATGCTTTGGCCAGTAAAATAGGGAAGCTTTGGCTAACATCACCTAAAATTACTACTGGATAGGAAATAGGTGAATGTGGAAAAAAAGTTACAAAAATAGGTTTTGAGGACAGGCTTAAGAAAAAGCTGGCAACTTCCCCTGCTGAAGAGCACTAACAGGAACCTCCAGACATGCTCCAGTCTGGTTCCTGCTGTGGACAGATGCTGTTCAACACAGACCCCTAAATGCTATTTAGTACAGAGAAGGTGGAGTTGGTAAACACCAGGGTTGAGCAATTACACTTAAGAACTGTAAATGCTACCTCTTAATCTCCAGAAAAGTACAGGAACCAACATGCCAAAGAATGCTACTCTAGAGAATGCTACAAATCAGAATCCAGCATGATTCATCTGGAAGGTAGGTAGTTCTCTTGGAGAGAGCAGCGAAATAATGTTTCAAGGTCCACTGTGAGATGAATTCCAGGGGAACCACACCCCTTTCCTGCTCTTCCTACACAGCCTGGGTCTGGCTTATCCCCTATGCCCCATATCGGTTTCCCATGGCAACGGGATAAGCCAGACCCAGGCTGTGTAGGAAGAGAGTCTGTCTTGCCTGGATTGGTTCTGGAGGCCCAGCAATTTAAAAGAACTGAACTGAGTGAGTCACCTATGGGAGAAGGATGTGGGATCCCACCCTAGTTCTTAAATAACTCAAAAAAGGAGTCAGATGCCACAGAAATTTAAAAATACCTGTGCCCGAGCTCAGAGTACTTCATGACCAATTCCCCCAAATCCCAGAAATTGAAACTGGGTGGGACACCTAGTTTACTTTCTTCACAGGGCAGAGCAGAAGGAAAGTGCATTTCAGAGCCAGGGAAGTAAGGGAGGAAATGCAGCAGTGGAAGGACCCCTAAAGTGGGAAAATAGGCTAATCTAGGAATTCCTAAGAAATACAAATTGTAAGCTGAGGAAATCCTGGCCACCCTTGAATAAATATCTTCTTCAAGAACGTGAGGTCGGTCTACCTCACCCTGCATGAGTGCTCAGGTCAGAGGCCACTCCGATCCCATCCCTTCCTTGCCCATGGTCATATGGCCTGATGGAGCTTCCCCCTCTAAAGCTACATCCCTGCCCCATTCCTCTCTTCCCTCAGCTATTTTATTCAGCAAATGGATTTTGAATACAGCAGCCAGCTGACTTTTTATTTGTCCAGTAGACCTTTTGGAGTAAGAATGCAGAACAAGGGCAAGCCAGAAGGTGAAAACAGCATTGAAAACCAGAGGAAATGCCCTCGGTCTCATTAGTAACCAGTGTCCCAAAGGGCACTGACCAGGGCTACAAGCAAGGGATTCTGTTTTGAAGGAGCTACACACTGGTTTTAAAATAAGATGAAGGGAAATACTGTGATCACAACTCTGTTTTCTTGGCTAGAGGATGAGTCATTTAGCTCTTGTGTGACTGTAGCGGTTGTCCCACTGAGTCAGTCCTGCATTGCCCTTCCTTCTTGGGTGGGGCTGGGCAGGGCTGACTGCAGCACTGACCGTTGCTTGCTAAAGCAGAAGTTCCTCAGGGACTTAAATCTGGCATTTCTGCTCCCATTCAGCCACTCTAGAAGCTCCACTCCTGGGCAGAGGTGGGCCTCCGGCTTCCTGGTGGGACACACTTTGGCAGGAGAACCTGGGACTGTGGCTGAGGGGCCGCAGTGCCCTCTCAGTGACCCCAATGACCTAGTCCTGCACTGAAACCCTCCATCACATTTAATTGTTTACCTGTCTGCGTCAGATTTAAATTTAAGCTTCTCTTGGTCAAAAGCGACGAATTAGTCGGCTTTTATCCATGGAGCACTAAATAACTGTTAAGTGAATGAATGAATGAATCAAACAATCCCTTTGGCAGTAGCTGAGGTGCAGGTGTGACTGCCCAGGACTAGGCTGAAAACCTTGTAGCTCAGAACTCGGCAGGAAGATGAGGGCTGGGAAGGGCCAGGAAAGGGGCCCCAAAAGGGTATGCCTGCGAATGGAACAGTAAAGTACAGAGGACAGCATATTCTACACGCAAAGGAAAAAATATGTGTCCTGCTAAACAGGTCTGGTCAGACTGACATGACTTCTCTCCTCTCACTCTTGCTGTTTTCTCGTGTTTTCATTTATCCCACCTTCTACTCCATGCTCCTCTAGTGCTGCTGTCTCACTGCTAAGCTTCACAGGATGTAAGAGGCTTGCTCACCTTTTATTGAATCATTTTATTCTGATGCCTTTATATATATGCTCTCTACATGTTTGCCTGAGCAACAGGTCTTAAGAGTGGAGGCTCAGGCCGGGCGCGGTGGCTCAAGCCTGTAATCCTAGCATTCTGGGAGGCTGAGGCGGGCGGATTGCTCGAGGTCAGGAGTTCGAAACCAGCCTGAGCAAGAGCAAGACCCCATCTCTACTATAAATAGAAAGAAATTAATTGGCCAACTAATATATATATAAAAACTTAGCCAGGCGTGGTGGCGCATGCCTGTAGTCCCAGCTACTCGGAGGGCTGAGGCAGAAAGATTGCTTGAGCCCAGGAGTTTGAGGTTGCTGTGAGCTAGGCTGACGCCACGGCACTCACTCTAGCTAGCCTGTGCAACAAAGCGAGACTCTGTCTCAAAAAAAAAAAAAAAAAAAAAAAAAAAGAGTGGAGGCTCAGAAGTCTTTCTTTGTGTAGTTTTCTCTACAGAAAACAATTCTGGACTTCACAAATTTAGTTACTGTGGGAGGAATTCAATTTTCCATTTTTGGTTATCCTATATTGAGCACGACTTTGCATGTCCTGGACATAGTGGTAGGCACGGGGATATACACACACATGTGGGCACGCACATGCACACTTGCCTTTGTGTTCACCAGCTAATGGAATACTATTTAAAAGTTCTGAATTCTGGTTATTGTGTTTCTGTTTCTTTCCTCACTAGAGGGGCTCCTGAGCAGAGTCCAAGTAGCTAGTGCCCAGCCCTTCCTGCTTGATGAATCAGTAGGAATGAAACTGACAATCCTAATGTAATTTTGGTCATCCTGGGAGTAGCAGGGAAGCAGGAGTCCTCCTTAGAAAAGCATCTGCTCCTGAGCAATCCCAAATGTTCACTCTGGACCAATGCCCAGATCCAGGCCATGATTTCAAAGAGGACACGTCTAGGGAGCAAGAGGTCTGATGTACTTTACTCTTCTGTATCTCGTCCATACCCTAGTTTTCTTACAGCCCACCCAGAAAATAATTGGCAGGGTGTCAGGAAGAATAAGCATCTGTTATTTAAAATATGTTTGAGGTTTCTTGCCTTTCACTTTGGAAATTTTTGGGAAAAAATTTTTTTTTCTGGAAAATTGAACCCAGAAGACATTCTTGAATTTGATCCTTAAAGAGAATTGAGAAAAAAATAAAAATGAGTTGAAGCAATGGATCTGGATCCAGGCTGTCTCTCATACTTGTCACCAAATAAAACTTGTCCATGAAAGAAGTGGCCATCAAAGGAAAATTCCAGATGCGATTCAATAGGAAGAAAGAACTCATAAACCTCCTCTCACCCAACCAAGTACATCCATTGTTTCTTGAAGAACTGTCAGGCATCAGCCCAAATCATCCAACAACAGCAATTGTGACAACTGCTATTAAATCCTTTGGTGGGGTGGGTGGTAGTTATTTAGTGAAGGGAAAGGAAGTGCCGAAAATTGTTTTTAAAAAAGTAAATTATTTCTTTTTGCTTTTGATGTAAGATTCCTAAATTGTTAAATCTCTGGAAAAATGAGACACTTAAGAAAGATCCTAAAACTTTAGTCCAGCTTTCCCAGCATTTTGAGTGCTAATTTATACATTATAACCCTAAAAGAATTCCATTGTTTCCCCTCAGCTTTACACTTTAAAAGATTGGACTGTATCCAAGGGCATACCAAGTGGGCCGTGCTCTAAAATAGTCACATTTTTTCAACTGTCAGTGGAAGGCAGGGAGGCACCCAGTCTCAGCTCCACCCAGTCCAAGGCCTGACCTCACTGGAGTGGCTGTTCCAGAGGCTGGCCAGATGCCAGATAGGGGGGTGAGGGGGCCCATCTGATGTGGTAACCAGGAAAAGCCAGAGAAGAACATCACCTAGAACTCAAGATGAGACCAAACAATTGCTTTACACCGAGTAGACCAAGAAAAAAAAGTGAAGAACTGAAATAAGAAACTCCAAATGGTGGATCAAGGACCACCCTGAAGAAACTACTCTCTGGCTGTGAAGGAATGTATACACCATTTAGAAGGGATGATTAAATAGGAACTGGAGAGGAACCTGTGGGGGCAGGGCTGATGACAAAAGTCCAAATGAGTTATATGAATTTATTCCTGTCCCAACCCCTGGCGTATCTATTGCAATTTGCTGAAACATGTTGGAGGCAAAAATCACCGACAAGGTGTTTCCATAAGCCTGGGCTCACCTGAAACGCAGGATATAAAAATCCACTCCTGGAGGCTGAAACTCAAGCTTCTGAGGAAAAAACAATCCGCAACAACTGCAAACCTCTTAACGGAAAAAGCTACCTCCCAAGTAAGGCTGGGACAGGCTGCCAGGCGCATATAGGCCGATAAGGGGAGCGGCGGGCTGGCCACGGCCCTGTGGATCTAATTGCTGCCCTCACGGGCAGTTCAGTCTTCAAACTGGCGGCCAGTCCTGGTGTGACTCACTTCCTCTTGGAAAATGCCCTCTAAGATGGCACAGTTCCCCTTTTCCTTCAGGGAGTGTTCTGTCCAAACCATCCACAGAGAGTATCTGCAACCAGCCACACCCACATGGTCTCACAGCTGAGTCACAGGCCTCGGACCACTGGGAGAATCCTGGAGCCCTCGGTGCTGCCCACGCCCTGCAGATGCTTCCAGCTCCCCTGGGCCTGGGTGGGGGCCGAAGGAGCGGTGGGCTTAATGCATCCCAGAGTCTGGCTTAGGGTTCCCCTTGGCTGGCCTGTGGCAACCCTGCACCCCCCACCCCCACCATGGCAGCGCTCCTGGTTTCACTCAGGCAGGGCGGACCGAGGCTAGACAGTGCGAAGCCGGAGCTGGAGGAAGCGCCTTCCCTTTGGCCGCGCTCAGGTTGTGAAGCAAGTTACCAGTGGCCCATCTGCCTCTGTCTCACCCGCACCGCGGCGAAATTAATCTGTATTGGAAAACCCTTCAAGTCTGCTCTTCCCCCATCTCTCCCCGGTTCCACTTATTTAATTAAGATGCAAGAAGGGCATCCTTACAGTTGAGGAATCACTTCATCACACAGTCCCTCCTCTACAACCTGCCCCCCACCCCGCCAGCAAAACTGCTTTATAAAGAAAACAAATAGACCTCCCTCCCTCAGCAGGAAGACCCTTCCTGTCTGGCAGACAACAGGAAGCCCAACTGGAGGCATCTGTCTGGGCAAGGGGCTGAGGAACACCCTTTAGGAAGGGCAGTCCCCAGCTGCCGACCCACCCAGCCCTTCTCCGCCCTCCCCGAGCCCTCTGCGGCCGGCCACATCTGGACGGGGTCAGCCTGCAGCTGGAACCCACGAGGGGACATGCCCGCAGGACAGGCGCGAGAAGCAGGGGCTCGGACAACTCAGGCGACTAGTCGGAAAGTGGGAACGGTGGGAGTGAAGAACGGCAGCCGGGGATGCCAAAGGAAAACCCCAGGGCCAGGGTTCTGTAGTCAAGGACAAGTGCCCCCTCTCCGGTCCGCGAGGGTCTGGGGGCGGCCGCGCCGGCCGGGGAGGAGCGCTGCTCGCCCCGCCTGGGTGTGGCCCGGCGCGCGGTGCAGCGGATTCCCCACCAGCCGCTCCCCGTCCAGGCCCCGCGGTGCCCGGGACGCCCCGCGCAGCCAGGGAAGGGGGTGCCCCCGGTGCCAGATTCGGGGCTGGGGACTACCCGGAGGGGCAGCGCGCGGAGCCGGGCGGAGCTCACCTGGGCCGTGCGGCGCGGACGCTGGGCGAGCTGGGACGCGGGGCGGCGGGCAGAGCGCGGCGGGCGGCGAGACCTAGTGCGCTGCGGGGGCCCCGGGGGCGGAGCCTGGGCCGGCGCGGTCTCCTCCCCCTCTTCCTGCGCCCACGCCCCTCCTCCCGCGCGCGGCACACGCCCTGCGCGCTCCGGCCGCGCCCGCCCCCGCCGCCCCGAGAGCGCCGTGGCAGACTCTAGCAGGAGTGTTCCTCTCTCGATGGCTCAGCACAGCCCCACCTTCGGCCGTGCCCTTCCTCTCGGGTTTGGTTTTAGAAAGTGTGTGAGCGTGGAAATCAAAGAAACCGGCCGTCCCTCTGAGGGTGGGGCTGTTGGCCCCGAACCAGAGATAACCGGCTCTCCGGTAACCTGCAGGTCTAGGAATTATTTTCTAGATGACACTGCAGGGAGGGGCGCGTGGGGGCCTAACGACCTGACCTCGAAGGCGCTGGGACTTGGCTGTTCTCAGATTAGGGCCTAGCAGGTCCGTGTGTCCCGGGGGTTGGAGGGCATCTCCCGGGGGGTGAGGGTGCTGTCTAGCTTGTCAGTTCTAGGAACCTTACAAACCCCTTGTTGAACAGGGGATTTACCCCTCCTGGTTTGTGTGGTTTCACTTGGTCGCTGGTTCAGTTTCAGTGTGGTTTAATATTGTTAAAAACGAAGTTTCTAAGGCTTCTTTTTGCTCTGCAGTGGGCCTGCTTGGCCCTAAAAGTCCTTTAGAAGAATTTTCTGGAAGAAATTTAGAGAAAACCTAAGTGTTTCCTAGCAGATGCTTACCCACTCCTTCCCCTGCCCCCACATTGATTTTAATCGTGTTTTAGGGTTAAATGCAAACTACTAGCAGTTGTTGGTGGAAAACAGCCCAGTGACAAGTCCTGGGGTTTTCCTTTGTTCCCAGGGGAGGCCATGGGAGGAATGAGTGATCCCAAAGGAATGAGCAGGGGAATCCTCTAAGTGATACCTCGTGACTAATCTTGGCTATTGCCAAGAAACCCTGCTTGGATTTCAGCTATGGCTTTCCCCGCCACCCTGGTGCTGACTCTTCAAGGGGACAGTTCTTCAAGATCTTCCCATATACAGTACTTGTAGGCTCCAGGTCACAGTCACCAGTGGAGGAAATCCTGGATCCTTTTTGTCCCAGGTAAGATGCAACTGGATTTACAATGAGAATGCCTGGGTTTGCATATCCCTACTCATCTGGTTTTTTCATTTGGTCCAAAAACCTTTACGAGTATTTAGTATGTGTGCGAGGCCCAGGGATTTGGGGATTAAAGGATCTTTTCCCTCAAAGAGCTCTAAGTAAGTGTTGAGAAATAGAAAAGTAAACAATTAAAATCCAATGTGCTTAGTGAGTTGTAGAAGGTACTATGGGATTCTGCAAGAACTCAGGATGGGCTTCCAAGTCCCCTTGGAGTGTTCACAATGATTTCTGGAGGAGGCAACATTTGGTAGAAATTTTCAAAATAACCTTAACACTTATTGTGTCTTTTTAATCTGTAGAAAGATTCTGTTACTGTAGAAGGCTTGGAAAATATAACAATGTATAAAAAAGAAAATGAAATTACTTATAAATAGGTGAGCTGAAGATAAACATTTTCATGTATTACTTTCCATTCTTTTTATGCATATATATTATATAGTTACATAATTGTGATCACACCAATTATAAAATTATGTGTAATCATACACTAGGTAACAATGTTTTGGTCAATGATGGACATGTGTGACAATGGTCCCATACGGTTATAATGGAGCTGAAAAATTCCTATTTTCTAATGATGTAGGTGTTATAATGTCATAGCAGGACACTTTACTCACTTGTTTGTGGTGATGCTAGTGTAAACAAACCTGTGCTGCTAGTCATATAAAAATATGGCATATACAATTATGTATAGTATGTAATACTTAATAATGATAATAAATGACTATGTTACTGGTTTATGTATTTACTACACTATACTTTTTTTTTTTTTTTTTTTTTTTTGAGACAGAGTCCACTCTGTTGCCCAGGCTAGAGTGAGTGTTGTGGTGTCAGCCTAGCTCACAGCAACCTCAAACTCCTGGGCTCAAGCAATCCTTCTGCTTTAGCCTCCTGAGTAGCTGGGACTACAGGCATGTGCCACCATGCCCGGATAATTTTTTCTATATATATTAGTTGGCCAATTAATTTCTTTCTATTGATAGTAGAGATGGAGTCTCGCTCTTGCTCAGGCTGGTTTCGAACTCCTGACCTTGAGCAATCCACCCGCCTCGGCCTCCCAGAGTGCTAGGATTACAGGCGTTGGCCACCGGGCCCTGCCATACTACACTTTACTTTTTATGGTTATTTTAGAGTGTACGCCTTTTACTTATAAAAGAAAAAGTTAACTGTAAAACAGCCCCAGGCAGGTCCTTCAGGAGGTGTTTCAGCTGAAGGCATTGTTATCATAGGAGATGACAGCTCCGTGTATGTTATTGTCCTTGAAGACCTTCTGGTGGAACAAGATGTGGAGATGGGAGACAACGATGTTGATGATCCTGACCCTGGGTAGGCCTAAGCTAATGTGTGTGTTTGTGTCTTCATTTTTAACAAAAAGTTTAAAAAGTAAAAAAAAAAATTAGAAATAGAAGAAAGCTTATAGAATAAAGACATAAAGACAATGTTTTTGTACAGCTGTAGAATGTGTTTGTGTTTTAAGCTAAGTATTACAATAAAAGAGTCAAAAAGTTAAAAAAAATTAAAAAGTTTATCAAGTAAAAAGCTTATAGCAAGCTAAAATTAATTTATTATTGAAGAAAGAAAAAAATTTTTTTTCCCTAAATTTAGTGTAGCCTAAATGCACAGTGTTTATGAAGTCTACAGTAGGGTACAGTGATGTCCCAGGGCTTCACATTCACTCACCACTCACTCACTGACTCACCCAGAGCAACTTGCAGTCCTGTAGGCCCCATTCATGCTAAGTACCCTATACAGGTGTACCATTTTTATTTTTTATACCATATCGTTACTGTGTTTTTTGTATGTTTATATATGCTTAGATTTACAAATACTTAGCATTGTGTTATAATTGCCTACAATATTCAGTACAGTAACATGCTGTATAGGTCTGTAGCCTAGTTATAGCCTAGCAATAGGCTATACCTTATAGACTAGGTGTGTAGTAGGCTAAACCATCTACCTTCTAGGTTTGTGTAGATATACTATATGATGTTTGCACAACGATGAAATCATCTAATGACGCATTTCTCAGAATGTATCCCTGTTGCTAAGCAATGCATGACTGTCCCATAATACTATATCTTTACTGTTTTTCATGTCATTAAATATTTATCAAGAACATGAGTGTTCATTTATTCACTCATTCTTTTTTTTCATTTAATAAGTAATTGTTCAACTGCACTGTATTGTGGATTCTCTATTCTCCCCTCTGCAATCGGCCAGCAGTCTCTGAGGACTCTGAGGCTCTAATGCGTGCATCTCCACAAGGGAGAGGGTTTCTAAAACACTGTGCTAAGTGCTGGGATAAAGTGGTGAAAATGGTCAGCAGGATGGACACTGTACCTGCCCTCATCTGGCTTCTTAACAACTCTGTGTATTGGTAAGTCCACGAACTCCAAGTACCTGCCTTGCCTGTGATCTCTCTCTAGGAAAAGTGGTTGCAGGCATTCTTTCACCAGGAAGCAGTTATGCCTTGTCAGCCACATGCATACAGAGAAGCCAGTTCTGCTTCCCTAGTAATAACTGATTGGACCAGGGAACAGTGCCTGAGCCAGAGCTGCCCAGCAAGGATGGTGTCCTAGCAGGGGGTGAGGGGCAATGTGAAGAGGGAAGCAGACTGAATGGCCATCAGAGGCCTGAGGGGGACAGAGGCCTGATCCAATGTGGCCTCTGGAATGACAAGGAGCCAATGTTCACGTTCTCCAGCAGGCCTGAGGTACGTTCCAGTGTACAAGATGCTGGGAATTGGAGAGATTGTTTTGCTAATGAGGCAGTATTGGGCATTTACCACTTCTCCATGTGGCATAGCCACAAAACTCCATTACCCAGTGGTTCTCAACTTTTTTGGATTTGTGGCTTTAGCACAGAGGGTGGGCTGTCCTTCACAAATGTGTGTTCCTTCTTCCATAGTGTAAAGTTGTTGCTGGGAAATGGTTGCTTAGCCAGAGATTATGTTCCTAGCACCTCTTGTACCTAGGTGGGACTATGCAACAAGTTAGCAACAGAATGGGACTAGAAGTGATGTGTGTCACTTGCAGCCAAGGCAGTAAAGAGGTGACTTTTCTATATTCTTCTTCTCCATCTGCCAGGATTCTGAATCTCTAAGGATGGAAGAGCCATAGTTGGAAGGAGCCTGGATTCCTGAATCACTGTATGGAGGAAAACCACTTGCTGACCAGGAACACCCTTATTGGACTAGTTATGTGGGTAAGAATTTGGGGGTTATTTACTACAGCATAACCCTAACAAGTAGAGTGGCATTCTTTTGGATGCTAGTATTTTTGGCAGCACATTCAAAAGGATTAATTTGCATGCATAGTAATTACACTGTTATACTAATCACACTTCAGTATGGTGTCAGTGTTTGAGTAGAACTATTAACTGTCCTGATCACTCTGTCTTAGATATTCATGAGGCAAAGTTCTCACAGGTCCTGGCAAATGCATAGTCTCATTGTTTCCTCATGTGTATCAAGCTGTGCCCTGCACCATGTGGAAACCTGTGAAGTCCAGCTCTGCATTTCATCTGCCCAGACACCATGTCAGCAGCGTGAATAATAGTTGTAGTAACTTTATTCATCCATTGCAGTGTCCTAGGAAAAAGTCACACCATTTCTCATGGCAACTCAGTTGAAATCACTGATTTACAGTGATTGGTCAAGACTTCTTGCTAGCAACCCAAAAAAGAAAAGAAAAGAAACAAAGAAAGAAAGAAACCCCAAGTGTGGCTGTACTAATATCCTCTAAATAGAGAGTATCATTTGTTAAACATTTCCCATATTTTTTAAACACTTAGGTTATTTCTAATTTTTCATTGTCATAAATAACTACCGTGTTTCCCTGAAAATAGGACCTACCCGTAAAATAAGCCCTAGCAGGATTTCTAAGCATTTGTGCAATATAAGCCCTACCCCGAAAATAAGACCTAGTGATGAGCATGGCTATGCAGCATATCTGCACAACCCATGCATTTCATTGTGGAGCATTAAAGAAGATGAGCAGCCCTTCTCATATGCCCCATGAGAGCTCTATTGCTCGACATGAGAGATTGGGGCCAATGGTTCTAAAGGAAATAGAGTCACAAGAAATTCAGGATGGAATTCAGGGTTTGGAGAGTTATGATGATGTTCCAGAAGAAGACGACTTACCTATATTTGCATAAATGTAGATTGTTGTACCATACTTAAAAAAAATCACACATCCCCTGAAAATAAGCCCTAGGGTGTCTTCTTGAGGAAAAATAAATATAAGACCCTGTCTTATTTTGGGGGAAACATGGTATATATAAAGGATTACCTCTCTTCTCTTCTCTTCTCTTCTCTTCTCTTCTCTTCTCTTCTCTTCTTCTTCCCTCTCCCTCCCTCCCCTCCCTCCTCCCCCCCTCCCCTCCCTCCCCTCCCTCCCCTCCCCTCCCCCTCCCCTCTCCTCCCCTCTCCTCCCTCTCTCTCCTCTCCTCTCCTCTCCTCTTCTCTTCTTTCTTTTCTTCTTTCTTGTCTCACTCTGTTGCCTGGGCTAGAGTGCCATGGTGTCAGCCTAGCTCACAGCAACCTCAAACTCCTGGGCTCAAGTGATCCTCCTGCCTCAGCCTCCCAAGTAGCTGGGGACTACAGGCATGCACCACCATGCCTGGCTATGTTTCTTTCTTTCTGTTTTTTTTTTTTAGGCTGGTCAAGTGAAGTAGTGGAGGAAGAACACAGGAATCTGTAACTGGTTGTGATCAATTAGTTGTAAACATCACTGCACTCAGACCAACCTAAAGGACTACATTTGAATAAATATCTTTGCCCATGTTTGTTTTCTTAGGATATATTTCTATCAGGGACTATCCTTTTTTTTGGTTGCTTATGTGGATCTTAAAGGACAAATAGGACATTCTGTGGGGGCAGACAGAAGGGAAAAGCATGTGCCAGCGCATGGAATTGTGAGGGTAGTGGTCGATTCCAGTAATTGCTCCCTCCCCCCTACCCCCATTCTGCATGGGGAGAACGCAAAGTCCCTTACAGCCTTGGATGGGGATGTGTCTTGGGAGGAGGTGCTGTTCCTGGAGCACCTGAGATACTCTATGAAGGAGTTTGGATTTTGTTTCTAAGATAATAAGGAGCCAATGAAGAATATTAAATGGGAATTATCAGCTGTGTGGCTCTGGCCAAATCATTTCACCACTATGAACCTGAGTCTCCTTGTAGATAAAGTAGGGGTAGACACCTGTCGTCTAGAGTGACGGAAAAGACTGAACCATCTAATGAACATGAAGGCATCCAGCTCAGCCCCGGCAGGAGTGGATCCGCACCTCCTCTGTGTGATCCCCACCCTGCGGAGAGGTGGGTGTGGGGAAGTCAAGCAGGGCTACTCTGTGGCCCAAGGTTTCTGGCGTGTGTGATTTGTGGGTGAACGCCTTGGAGCAGACTTCCCTCTAGGGGACTGGCAAGATTCAACTGAGGCTGCACTTGCTGTGCTGAGTTATCTCTAGGAGCTGCAGAAGCTGAAGGACTGGAGCTTTTTTTTGTTTTTGTTTTGTTTTCTTTTTTAAACATAGAAGAGCTCTTAGATTGGGGTTGGAAAACATGTACTTTCTTCTATGGGGTGAGCTGCAATTTCTAATGATTATAACCTACCAAATATTCACGGGACACCTACTAATTCCTAGCCTGTTCTGTATACTCAGGATATATCAATGCCTAAGTCAGGCAAATTATGCCCTCACAGGCCTTACATTCTAGTAGGGAAAGACAAATGAAATACAAGTAAAGGGGAAAACTGAACTAACACAAAAATTTGTTAAGTTGTAACAAGAGCCATGATGGGAAAAACAAGGGTCCAAGTGAGAGAATTGAAGGGACCCCTTCAGGTAGAAAGTCAGGGAAGGCTGCACTGAGAAGGGAATAATTTTAACCCAGACTTAGAGGAAGAAGAGGAGCTAGGGTTGCAAATAAAGGAGGGGCATGAGGAAGCTTCTGGCAGAGGGAAAAGCTGGTGCAAAGGCTCAGAGGTGGGGAGGAGCTGGGTCTTACAGGGGAATTGAAAACCACCAGTGTGTCTGAAGCACGCTGAGCCAGGGGTGGGTGACATGGGATGGGGTCAGCTGATTTACAAGGATCTGGTCAAGACTTTTTGCTGGCAATGGAAAAGACAAAACACTATGTATTATAGTGGTTAAGAGTGCAGGCTCTGGAGTTTCAGACAGACTTGGGAGTGGAGCACATTTTCTCTGCCATTCATTGCCTATGTGATCTTGGACATGTCACTGAACCTTTTCAAACCTACATTTTCTCATCTAGAAAAGGACGATGAGTGCCTGCTTTGTAGGGATGTTGTGACTATAAATGGGAAAATGCATGCAAATACTTAGCAGAGTGCCTGGCACATAGTAAGTACTCAGCTCATGTCAACTGTAAGTGGAGGGTAGGTGGAGCCAGACAGACCAGTGTTGAATCCTGGCACTACAGCGTGATTGCTCTGTGCCGTGGGCAAGTCTCTGCTCCCCATTTCCTCATCCATGAAGTGGGTTTGAAATTCCTATCCCGGGGGGTTAGCTTATTATGGGGGTTATATGAAGTGCCTTATGTGCAGCCATCCAGAAGGTAGGAGCCACCCTTTGAGGTCTTTTTGTTATTTTAAAATGTTTTCCTGACTACGACCAGCTTCTTTACAAACACCCAAAAAAGATACAAAACCAGAATGAAAATCAGTTATTAGTATGTCATGAGTTGGGGTAGCTGACAGAGAAGAAAAAGCATCTTAGCTTTTCTCTACCATTTTCTGGTCATCAGGGAACCTGATTTCCCAGTTGCTACTATGGGTGTCTTCCAAGGAGGAGGAAACTTGTCCTGTACCTTGAATTAAGTTATTACGCCTGAGCAGAGCTCCCGCGTGTCTGAATGCCAATGTTTGGTGTTGAGGGAGAACTCTGTAAGACACGACCTGCCCATCACGGGCTGTAGCCCGCCAGTCTGGTAACACGCATTTCCCTTTTCTCCGTTAAAACTTGAGAGCAAGTGGTGTTCCAGGGAGAAATTTGGGGGGCTGTATCAAAGGGAAACGGTTACTTAAGCCACAGCTACCCTTTGTTCATCAATAATACTGGAATGTGGCTGGGGATGGCTCAGACCCACAGAAATTCCACTGTGTGGGGCTCCAGTGACTCAAAGCCCTTGTGAAACGCTGGCTGCTTGGCACAAACTGGTACCACTGGTGCCTGGACAATGTGAGGCAGCAGCTAGCTCAGGGTTTCGGGCAGTGCTATTGGCTGGAAGCGGGGGAGGCTGCTGTAAGTGGCTCTGGGAAATATGGTAACTACTGGGAAAGGGCGTGTCCTTGCTTTCTGGCTAATGTTGTGGGACCCTCTGGTGGCCACAGAGTGAGTAGCTCTGCAGTGGGGTTTGCTTTCTCCTGAGTGGTCCAGGCAGAACAAGGGGTAGGAAGCCTTGTCCAGAAATCAGAAGATTGAATATGGGGCTGGGAAGATTACCCAGTTGGCTTGAGCTGGAGGCTGTGATTTAGGTTGGCACCTGTCCCATTTCCTTATGCTGTTGGTGCTGTTTCTCAGGGTTTGCGCAGTGGGAAAAGTAATAAATAGTCTGTGTACAAGATACCAAAAAAAAAAAAAAAAAAAAAAAAAAAAAAAAAAAAGAAAATAGAGATGTTATATTGAACTAGTGTTTGGTTACCCTATGGACCAAAACCTCAGTTTGGTTGTAGAATTTAATCTGTTTTATTGGTTGGCTCTTAAGTAAATTTATTCTAACAGCTTTGAGCAGAGATATTCTGAAAGCCAAATTGCCCAGGTATGGGAGGGTGTGTTTGCTGGTGATCACTGGGGTCACCTTTGAGGTATATATTGGTCATTTCAGATAGGGACAGAAATGTGCTTCACGTCTCACCTATTACAAATTAACATCATAATTTTATAGCTTACAAAGTTTCATCTCGTATGTTACTTGTTTCTTATAATCACCACAAGAAATATTATAGATTGATTAGTGTTATGATCATAGTAATAATTTATCATGGTTTATACATATTATCTCTAAGTCTGACAAAACCCCTGTAAGATAGCCACGAAGTCTGTTCTCAGATGAGAAAAGGAAGCTTGCAGAGGTTACATAACCTCCCTAAGGGGCATAGCTATGGCCCTATTAGAACCGAGGGAAGCCAGTCTCAAAGCCTCCCCTCTTGTCACCACCCTGCTTGGCCTTTCTTTGGGTACAG